ATAAAATCACTCTTCAAAAAATAAAAATAAAAATAAAATTTTAAAAAAACCTGAACACTTCTGCTTCTAGGAAGATAGAGTAGACATCCTTTTTCTTATTACACCTACAAAGTAAAACTAAAAACCTTAGACATAAATAAAAACAGAAAGCAGATTGGCTAGGATCCTTAGGATCCAGGCAATGAAATGACACTTCGTGTTTTCTCTGGGTTTTCTTTTTTGCCTCGTATATCCTAGACTTGAGGCTGAAGAAGCCAGCAACATGGAAACACCAACAAACTACAGACAAAAATAAGCTCCAACAAACAAATGCTTGCTCTGTGGATTTCAGGCTCAAAACTGAAACATCAAATCATACCTGAATTTTAAGTCTGCACCTGCCTGCTCTACAAATTTTGGACTTGCCAGCCCCCGTGATGGCATGAACTAGTAATTCCTTGAAATAAATTGCTCTCTTTATAACTATGCATATACCCAGTTGGTTCTGTTCCTATGAAGAACCCTGACTAAAAGAGCAGGTGTCCTAGGTTGGGTCGCTAAAACAAATTACTATAGATTAGGATGGCTTAAACAGCAAACATTTATTTCTCACTGTTCTGGAGGCTGAAAGTTCAAGATCTGGGTGCCAAGTGTGGCCAAGTTCTTGGTGAGTAGTTTACAGAGGGCCACCTTGTGTCCTCATGTGGCAGAAAGAGGGCAAGCTAGCTTTCTGGCCTCTGATAAATCTGCTAATCCCATTCATGACGCTCCGCCCTCATGACCTGATTACCTCCCAAAGGCCTTACCTCTAAGAACCAGCACACTGGGGATTGGGTTTAAAGACATAAATTCTGAGGGGACACAGACATTCAGCTTATAATACAGGTATACTTCTAAGGGGCACAACTGCCTTTGAACAACACAGTTCTGGGACGCCAACCCTCCTCAAAATCCGAGTATGACCTCACAGTCAGCCCTCCAATTTGCAGTTCCACATCCAGGGATTCAACCCACTGTGGGGCATGTAGTACCGTAGTACACATTTACTGAAAAACATCTGTGTATAAGTGGACCTGCGTATTTCAAACCCAAGGTGTTCAAGGGTCACCTGTAGTAGCTGATGTATATTGAGCACTTTGAGAGAGCCACTCTACCTAACACTTACATACATGATCTAACTTAATCCTTGAGACTTTATGAAGTAACTTACTATTATTTTAAATAAGAGGAAATTAATGCCTAAAGGTTAACTAACTTGTCCAAGTAACATAACTGGTAGGTGGAAGAGCTAAGCTAGGTGTGCCTGATTCCAGAGCCCTCACTTGTGGCCACTACCCTCTGCAAATCTATACATCAGTGTTTTCTGTTTCCTAGTTATAAGATCACCTGATGGATCCTGAAATAAACATGCTTTCACTTGCGCTAGCTTGAATGGATCTCTGTTGTTTAAACAAAAAACTTAATTAAAAGCACCCTCTCAGTTGTGTGTTCCATTTTGGTAAAGTTTTAGGTTACTCAAGTAAGGATCATGTCTTCTATTTTGTGCTTTTCCCCAAATGGCATTTAATATAATGTTTTTCAACCACGGCCACTAGTAGCCCTTTACGATTGAGTAAAAAATACCTAGTATTGAGTGTATTTTAAAGCAAATCTTTTTCTTCATAGAGATGATATATATTTTCATTGGTTCTCTAAAAAGGAGGTTAAGTAAAATTTGTTAGCCATATTTTCACAAGAAGAATAAATTTTTCATCATTTTCAGTGAGCATGGGATTAAAAATGAAATACCAGACTATACATTCTTTTACTACTCTTTCAATGGTTAACCTGGAAATTACATCCCATCCTCAATTTACTGCAGTCTAATTAAAAGTTAATACTTCTACGCAGTTTATGGGCCATTTTAAAACTGGGCTAAAATACACCATTTCCACTATGAAATGGATTGTTGCTACGCCCACCCAGCGTTATTGCTTGGTGAGTTTGATAGCACTCAGTTCCTGAGAGTAGCTCTGGTCAGTTACTTGCTGATCAGTGATCAGCCTCTCAATTCTAGAATGGATGCAGTGCCATGCCTAGAACTGCTATTTGACTGATCACTAGTTCTGTGCTGCTGATGGTATGACCCATGAAGAATGCACTGACTCCTCTCAGAGCTTGCCAGAGACTTAGCAAGGCATCCTTACTTACAATAAATACTTCTAGCACCATGGATTATGCTGGGTTATTATATTACTTATCTTTTGCTGTGTTATAAATTATCCCAAAACTTCTCAGCTTGAAGCATCAAAAAGCAATATCTCATACAGTTTCTGTGGGCCAGAAATAGAAGCAGCTTAATGGAGTGGCTCTGGCTTGGGGTTTCTCAGGAGGGTGCCGTGAAGCTTTCAGCCCAGGCTGCCGTCATCTGAGGCTTAAACTGGATTTGGAAGATCTGCTTGCAAGATGGTTAATTGGATCTGGAGGCTGGCTTGCAATTCACATGGTTGTTGGCAGAGGCCTTAGTTACTTACTTGCTTCTGGAAAGAGGCCTCAATTCCTCACCACGTGGACCTCTCCAGAGGACTGCTTAAAAGTCCTCATGACAAGGCAGCTGGCTTCCTGCAGATTAAGTGATAGGGAGAGAGAGCAAGAGAACATTTTGATTCTATGACCTAATCTTGGAAGCCACATGCCATCACTTTTGCCTTGATTATCAACCACTAACCTACATCAATGCCAAACTCTCTCCCTCAGTTGCAACCTTCTGGCATTTAATATAATGTTTTTCAACCAGGATAACCACCTCCCCCCCACCTCCCCGCCCCAGGTGTTATCTCAGTGTAACTGAGTATTTGAGCAGGGACCATACCTGACTTTTCAGACTCTGGCTAAGCACAGAATCCTAGGTGCCCACAGGTGAAAGGAGATCTCAGGTTCTCAGTGACAGTTCACTGCTCCCTCTAGGGTTTTCACCTCTCTTCTGCTTGGATTTCAGCCCCACTTCTATAGTGTGTCTATGGTGTGATGGTGTGCAGGCGCTATAAGACAGAGGAAAGTGTCATCCTGCTTTTTATAAGCTTTTGATCTAGCTCTTCAGCTTAGCTTGAGAAAAACCAGCAATGCATTCTGAGTTACCTTACATGTCCAGTTTTTTGTCTCAGCACCAGGCAACTGCTGAAAGCTTTTCTGGCTTCCTTTTTCTCTAGCTGAATGCTTCTGGCTGGGGCAAGCAGAGACCATAAGCCCACACCCAGAACTGGCAGGGTTTTTGTTTTTGTTTTTGTTTTAACATTTTTTATTGATTTATAATCATTTTACAATGTTGTGTCAAATTCCAGTGTTCAGCACAATCTTTCAGTCATTCATGGACATATACACACTCATTGTCACATTTTTTTCTCTGTTTTTGTTTTTTTAACTTTTAAGTTTTTATTTGAAAAGTTAAACCTACAAATAAAATTGACTTATAAATAGGTGTATGATTCTTTGCATTTTAGTATCTATACAGATTCATGTAACTATCACCATAATCAGTACACAACAGTTCCATTATCCAACAGCCCCCCTAAAAAAAAAAACCACTTTCTTGCTATCCCATACCATGCCCCAGCTCGTAAGCCCTGACAACCACTAATTTGTCCTCTTTTCCTATAGTTCTGTCCTCAAGAAAGTTGTATAAGTGAAATCTTACAGTATATAAACTTGAGACTGGCTTCTTTCACTCGGCATAAACACCAGAGATTTATCCAAGTTGTGTGCATCAACAGTTTCTTCTTTTTCCAGATGCCTCCAAAGGTAAGAGTAAAAAATAGTAGACTGGATAAATAAATTGTGGTCTAGTAACACAATGGAATTCTATACAGCAATGAGAACAATTACTGCTATTAGCAATTACATGGGTGAATTTTACAATGCTGAGTATAAGAAGCCAGAAAAAAAAATTCAACTTCTATGATTCCATTTATATGCCTTTCAAAAACAGACATAATTAATACCTGGTTTAGAAATCAGGACAGTGATTACTTTCGAAGGGTGGTAGTAACAGGTAATTGGACTAGTAATAGAAATAGTAATAGGAATAGGCTTTTAGAGAGCTGATAATCTTCTGTTTCTTGATCTAAGATGCCAGTCACATTGAGCATGCTCATTATTTTGAAAATCTGTAGAGCTGAACACTTTAGATTTGTATACATTTCTATATATATCTTCTACTTAAACAGAAACAAGATAAAATGAAGGAATTCTTTTTCATTGGTGTTTCTGTTTACATTTAAATGTTTCAAATACCACAATAAACATATAATATGCTAATAACAGAAAAGTTTAATATTAACTGAAAACCACTGTGATTGCTAGAAACCCCAGGGGTTATCTCAGTGTAACTGTGAGCATTTGAGCAGGTTCTGTGCTTTTCTCTTCGAGATATTTTTCCTCTCGTGTTGGAACCGTGTCCCAGTTCAGAAATGTAATGGCCATTGCCGATCGCTTCATGGACCTTACAAAAACAGCATCTTCTGGGTCATCAAAAATAGTTCTGCAAAAACGGCAATTATGTCAGAAAAAAACATCAAGTAGACCAAAGTGAATGTTTAATTTAAATGAATCAATGCCATATTTTCCTGTTATTTGTAGTATAGTACCACTGACGGCTTTTGGGCCCTACTGACAAATGACTTTCAGGACAGGTAACACTATGTTTATTGTACATACTGTTTATTTTAAAAATAGAGTGGACATGTTTGGGACTGGCTATTATAGCTTAGGTCTCACATGTTCATGCACTCATGTTTCAAATCAGTGTTAAATGAACAATTAAAGTATTTATAGCTATCATATGCATATTAGTATCTTATGTACCTTTTATTGGGAAGATTTTTTTCTCTACATTATACTATATTTTATAAATGTGCTTGGAGATAATATTTTTCAAGACTGAATCCAAAGAAGAAATCCCTAAGTGCAAAATTTTAAAATAATGATTTTTAAATTCATCAATATTCATAAATTTAAGGATGCTTTTCATATTTTATGAACTATTTCTTTTGAAAATGTAAATTCCAGTGAATATAAAATGTTAACAATTGCTCTCACTGACCAGATATAGGGGAACAGTAAACAAAGAAGTAAAGACCTTCATTTGTAATATCTAATAATTTTTAAGTTTTTTTATGCTTACTTTTAAGATTTTGCCTTTTTCTTTTTTAATGTTTTTGTCCAACTTCTCCCTCTACCTCAACTCACCTCTTCATTTATTTTAGGTTATAATAGTAATATTAAAAACCTAAATATGTCAAATATGAATACACAGCTTGAACTACTTTATCACAGAAACCCAGCAATTTTTCCCATCTTTTGAAGAGTTAGTCATTTTTTTAACTTACTGAAATGTTTTGAGAAAAGAGAATAATTTAGGGAATCAACACAATTATGAAATAATCTGATAATAAAAGTAAAGTTAAAAAATCACTTACCTGTCTACATTATTCGCAAATGCAAAGTCTAAAAAAAATACATTTCTAAATTAGTATGTTCCAAAAATTTTTTCAGCATTTTAAAACAATAGAGTAATACTGTAAAGGAAAAGGTCTAGAGCATAGCTCTCTGGTTTCTGAGCCATCATTCAGATAACAGTCCAATCCATCAAAATTACCTTGATACCTAACCCCGAACTGAAATTTTCTCTTAAATATTGTACCTTAAGTTTGTCTCAGGTTTTTGAGGCAAATTCTCTAATACCATACACATCTCAAAACTCTGAGAACAAAGTGCTCAATTTAGTTCCCAATGGAATCCAAGTGGGAATTTTTATAATTCAGATATTGAGTCTTATGTGCAGAAACAGGTCCTTTTTATTTTTCAGATAGGCACATGCATCTATAAATGCACAAATAGACCAAATGCGGGAAAAATATTTAAGGCAGTTTAAACCACTTGGATTCTTGGCATTAACTTCAAAGAAATAGAATAAACAACTTCTAGATCCCCACAAGAATCTACCTCTTCCCCAGCTTTGGAGCTCAAAGGCTAGTCCTCAAAGCTTGGATTTCTTACGGTATCTTCTAGAGACTATTACTGCTTAGTTCATTCCTCTCCAGAAGGCCCAGTGCCAGGCTGGTGGTGGAACGTGCGAACACCTGTTGGGCCACCAAAGCTCACAGTCTGAGCTCTTGCCAACCCCCAGGCGGCAAGGAGTACACAGCCTCCGCCTGAGGAGAGGGCTGGTGGCATTGGTCCCTTCACAGGACTAACCCAAGTCTTCCATGTCTTCTCTGACCCCTCAGACTCTTTTCCTACATCTTTAATTACTAAAAGCTCGTACTTTGCTTATGATGAATATAAACAAGAAAATAGGAAAAAGTGCAATCTCCCTTTGGCTTTTCCGATTCCTCTTATCAGAAGTATCACTATTAAGAGCTCTGCACATGTTTCTAGCCCCCATGTGCATATATATACATTTATGTATTTCTTCTAATTTGAAGATATTCAACTTATACCTGCATATGATCACTATGTATGACAGTACAATCAAATAGTGTATATTTCTGAGTGAAGGAACCACAGATAATTTTTATTTCTTCTTAATATTCTTCTATATTATCAAAAACAATTATAGCATTAATTGGTGAAATTGTCCAGTGTCAGTGGTAATAATAACAATTGTAGCTTATTCACTGAGCCCTTTATGCTGTGCTAGATACTGGGGTAAAGGACTTCAATGTATAATCTCATTGTTATCACATTACCTTATTTAGTTAAATATACACAAATGAAGATGGAAGTTGCATATTTAATTAGGCTAATAAAATTAGAAAATATTTATTTTACTATATAAGTACTTAGTTTATTGTAAATTGAAGTTATTATTATAACCAAATTACCCAAAAGTTTGAGAAGTTTTAATTTCAGCTTTTTGTTTTTTCCCCCCAAAATACCTGAAGGTACTTTCTGGGCTGGTTTTTGCTTAAATGTAGATTTAGGATCCCATGAAGCATCTACTTTTCCTCCAAATGCTATTGATTGAACAATATGAGCCTTTTTATGGTTAAAAATCGTAATCATTGATCTTCTTTCTTTTTCTGTAACTTCTGATAAATGCAAAAAGTAATGTTATTGCATATAAATAGATACAGAGTGATTCAACATAGAATTATTTTCAAAAGTGGATTTATCTGAACTATATTGTACTATGTGTCAAAATTACTTTCTAAAAAGTCTACCAAGTTATTACCATAATCTCATAAGTGCTCAATATATGTCCTTCACATCACAAGCCACAAACCAGTCCTAATGCATCCCAGAAACTCTGACACTTCACCATAGATGATTGAAATTGCAACTATGCTATTTCCCTACTTTTCTTCAAGGCTGTGAGGAAGAAAAGGAATAAATATAAGATTTTAACATATCCTCATTAAAAAGTTACTCAGTTGTAAATTATTAAGAATGTTCAAATCGTAGAAAGCTACATAGATAGGTAATAAAGCACTTCTGGGTAAAATAGACCACAAAAATATAAAATGTAATGCACTGAGGTTGATTTTTTTGTGGCTTATATACTAGTTTACATACTACTAGTATCTACAATGTCTAAAGATGCATTCACAAAGAAGTTATTGTTTATGTGTTTTAGTACATATATATAACTTAACTTTATGTACATACATAAATTTCAGGTGTGTGTATGTATGTGTGTGTGTGTATATATACATATATATATATGTATAAGAATTTCAAAGAATATGACTTTTAGAACCTAAATAGGCCTTAGGAGTTTTAGTTCAGTTCTCTTATCTTTGAAATAAGAAACAACACATTACTGTCAAAACCAGAGCCAGAAGGAGACCTTCCCTTATGTTCAGTTAGATGACCTTTCTTATAAAGTGGTCAACAGACATGAATTCCTAAATTACGAACAAATTTCACACAGCAAAAATTTCAAAAATAAATAACTAAAAAACTCATTTACAAAGAGAATTATTTTCAAAGTTATTTAGCATTTTTAAGCGACTGAGTTAGTTGTAAGACTGCCTCTTAAATAGTTCTTTGCAAGGAGGTGTCCTTACGATTTCGGTCAAGAAACTCCACTCCTGGAAGGTGGTAGATTATGTATAAACGGTACACGTTATATTGGCACAAAGGGTTTTGGTAGAGACCTACAAAGAAAGACGTCAGATTTCAAAATTAGTTTCATTTATCACTTGGTAAAACGTGGGAAACTGCGGGATCAACATAAAACATAAGAACACATAAAGGTCGGCTTCATGGACCAAACCAACGGCCTCACCAAACTCTTACTTATTCAGAGCAGGCCTGGCTTTTCCTATCTGTTATGTTCATTCATTCAACAGATATTTTCGGAGTGCTTGATGTCTACCAGGAACCGTGCTAGGTGCTGAGGTCATGTCGTTGATCCAAATGTGCCACAGATAAGCAGCTTTAAATGTCCATAAATTAATCAGGAAAGGAAGAGGTCGCTATTGGCGCTAGAGGGTTCCTGATGCTGCTGTTTATTTAAGTTCATTTGGTTCTCTTCTTCCGGTCCCAAAGGTCACAGGAGTGCCCGCATGGAGATCGACAGAGATGCAGTACACTGTTCTAATACAGCTTTCTTCCTCAGCCTCACACCATTGTGCATAGTTCAAATGCAAATGCCAGTAGCAGCTTTCAGATCTCAGCAGGAGCAGAGGTGAGCAGATGTGGGGCTTGCGTCTTGTCTGCCTCTGGCCAGGCACAGGATGTCCTCATGTGCAGATCCTGGGGTACAGAATGAACTGTGCTCGCTAACACAGTGGCTAGAGGTGGGAGGCATGTGGTTGTGTAAGTGCTCCTGGCACTTCTGACATCACGTCCATTAGGCATCAGCATATACGTTTTGAAAAATCTTCAACTACAAGTTGTGTTTTATTTTCACAGAAAAGGCATAATGTTTTCCCTATCCTTTCTTAGATACTATTAAACAGGGTTATTTCAATACAATGTAAAATAAAACTTTTATGATTTCCCATTGGATACCTTTAGATTTTGGATTCTGCTTTCATGGAATTTCTAGAAAATACTCCTGGAAAATCCATCTAGCGAGAACCACTAGATGGCAGTAGCAGAAAGAGCTCAAGTATGTACAATAACATCTCTGTTTCAACAAAATGAGGCTCATTTAATGTACATTTAAATTTAGCAGTACTGTACCATTTGACTATTTATAAAATACAAGATGTCTGATAAAAGCAGGAAAGTATTAGACATTAGAAACCCAGAAAAAAACTGATTAATATGTATAAAGAATTCGCAATATAAAGAAGATGGGGGGGCATGCTTGAAAGACAATAAACTATTTAGATAAAAACTGAAGAAGTTAATCATCTGAATGTTTTCTCTGCAGGTAATAAAATATTTTGATATTTGTTGTATAAACACCAACTTCTCTGGCTAATAAAATCACTATATATATAGCCATTCCCTGTGGAAAATATAAGCTTTAGAGGAACTTTAGGCAGGCACTGGAAGACACCTGGTGCATAATAAACAAAGGTTATTAAGAGGAAAGACATAAAAGAAAATATAGAGCCAGGAGCAACAGGGAAATTTAAAAGAAAGGCTATATGCCTGTACTGGGGAAAATGAGAGGAAGAATGAAATGGATATTTTTCAAGATTTCTTAAGTGACAAAACTGGTTTGAATTTTAATCTTATAAGAGAAAGAATTTAAAGTGGTAACAAATAATTATTATAACTACAGGACAGGGAATAGAACGGATGTATATTAAGCCCGTAAAAAGGACAGATTAATAAAGATCCACAGGGATCATGCATTGTAGTTTGAGCCCGAAAGAGAAGGGAAAAGGACACCCTTGAAAAATATAGGAATAAAACACAATTGTTTTTACTGAATTTAGGAGGTAGAAAAATTCAGTCATGTTTTAGTGCAGAAGTCTGCTCTGTGGTTACTGTCTTAGAGGATCACATCTGACAGCTCATAACCCTATCGTACATCATAGCAGCTGGGAGTGGAGTCTGCCCACAAATGATGTTAACGGGAAGTGCAGCAACCTCCTTCAGTGACGTTTACTTTTGGGATCCCTTTTCATCTTCTCTTTTCTCTCCGAGAACAAAGACTATTTAATTTCTTTTATTGACTTTTCCTCCTAAGTGCTTAGTTAAATAACTTCTTTATGCAAATTTTAAAACGTCTAGCTTCAGCTAAACAAAACACCAAATTTGGATTTACTACTATTATGTTACTTATTAAAAAGGTGTCAATGCTAAAAACTTGTGCTTATTGTGGTTCACCACTTGCCGCATCGTAAAGTAAAACCTGAGTGACAGCGAGTCAGAAAACCGGGCTATTAAGCCCAGTCTCTGATTAAATTAACTTAAAAAAAATAGAATTAAATAATTTTAAAGGCATTTCGTTTTCATAATTCTTCACATTTTTTCCTCGCTGTTAAATTTTAGAAGGAAGCAATCTTATTTTTAACTCTCTTTTTGCCCTTCCACACTACTAAACATTTAATATTTTGGATTTATGAGTTTTGGATTGATGCTACTAAAATTGCCATAAATAAAGTTTCTAGGACATGAAATCAGTTCCCTGTGTCTGAAAGTTCTGAAAGCCTTCTATGATGTATGGGTACCTTCCTTTAGAAACTATGAAGTGAAATAGCTTACACTTTCACTTTCAATAGGTTAATACTATTTAATCCCCCTTTCCCTCCAGGCAACTTACAGAGCACACCTCAGTGGCGCCAGCACTGTCTTGCTTATCTTAATTTGGGATTCTGCATCTAAGCAATTTATATGTACTCAATAATATATCAAAATGTCTCCACTACCTTACTGCATAATCTTCAGTTACACAAGTCCTGTGTGTGAAGCTACTTATTGTTGAAACAGAAGAGAAAAAAAAAATACAGTCATCTAAATAATTGGCTCCAGTTAATGTTCTTTAACGTTCAAAGCAAAATTAAAAATCACCATTTAAATAAACCTGGATATTTTTAAGGCCACCTTTGAATAAAGTTGATGTGATTAATAATGTACCAACATATCCATTTTAATGGATAAGATAAATGTTCAAAAAGAAGCTAAAAGCAGTCCCACCTGTGCCCATGCAGAACAGCCTTGGAAGAAAGTTCAACTGTCAACAACCAGAAGTTCTGGCTCAAGGTTACTTGGTAAGGCCAATCTCCATTGTAATCATCATCTTAGTTTGTACTGAATATGTAAATCATCCCTGATTTTTAAAAGGCAAACTTACACTAAAGTAGGAGTTAAGAGAGTGAGGGATGCTATTTCAGGACAAACAGCAATGAAAGACCCAGTGGGCTTTTTTTATTGAGCGGCCTGTTCTATTGTGTTGTTTGGAAGGTCCCACCTTGAAGGGTAATTCAGGTCAAGAGGCTCAAAGACACCACTGAGACCTCCCAGCATCCCGCTTCACTCCCTGGCTATTTGCCGTCAGCAGTGGACTGTGGCCAAATGAGGAAGGGCAGAAGGTATTTAAGAGAAGAATCTGTAAAAAAAAATGGGGATCCTCTCTTGAAAGGGGCCCAAGGGGCCCTTCCTGTGAAACCTTAAAGCTCTGCTAAGAAAGAAGTCTTAACAATTATGGAATGTAGGAGTCCAACTATTCTTCCCAGCAGTGGAGCTTACTGAAACATAGAGAAAATCTGAGAGAAATGAGGAGACTAAAGATTTAGGAACAAGAGAATGGGTTAAATATTTTCTTGTTGGTAGCGGTGGTATTTTTTCCCTCTGCTGGGAAGGAGACAGGAAGACTGAAGGTTAGTGAAAATCATCAGCCACGAAGTGGGTCTTTGACACAAGCAGATCCCGATTTAGAAAGAGTTAGGAGGAGGGAAGGAAAGAGACAAATGGAGCTGGAAAGAGAGGGTGTGGAAAGGTAGACTGCCTGGAGGGAAAAGGTGTGGCCCTCCTGACTCAGCCTGGAAGTCAGGAATTCCAGTTTCTAGGACCTCACACTCTGTAGCTGGTTTTAGGCCTCCCTGAAGCTCCCAGCCTTGTGTCTCCTGGGCAATCTCTTGGCAGTTCTCATAAATGCCAGTGGAGGGTGCAATGCTGAAACGGATTAGGGGTTTATCCTGCACCCAGGCTATTTTCTCACCCTCTGAAGAACTTGCAATCGAAGTGGAATAATAATAATAATATTTTAGCACTTACAGTTTAACGACTTGAAAAGACAAAATGTTTAACACTTGGAAAAACATGAATTTCTTATTTTAGTTAATGAGCTGAGTCTAATCTGTGATTGCAAATGAGGCTCACAGAAACTTAATCCGAGGACATTACTGCACAAATATAATTAGTAGCTAGTAAATGCAAACTTTTAAAAATAGTATCTTTAAACTAAAGTGGGGGGAAGTTTCAAAACATGCATATTTTTCATAAAATGATTTTTGGGGGGAGATGGACACAGTATTTTCTCCATTAAATAATGATTCCACTATTATATTATTGAATTAATAAATAAATGATAAATATTTATTGAATGAATGAACCAATAAATGATAAATAAAAGAAACAAGGCATGAGTTTGTTTCAACATTCCTTAGTAGTCAGTCTGGCTAAAGCCCTGAACCTTGCATTTCTACAATTAAAGAAACAGTAATTCTAATCACATCATTGGATTACTAGGAAGATTTAAATGAGAATATAAGTAAGCATTTTCTCTATAGAAAAGACATTCAAACACACTGTTATTATAATGATTATTATTTAGAATGTTAGGTTTTTAAAAAATCTATTTACCACGCAGCAGAATTTCTGGACTACGTGCATTCCAATTTATTACCTAATTTACACAATCTATAATAAAGCTTTTTTGCTGTTGTTGCTGCTTCAAAGTTACAGTAATGTGAAGAAATGCTTTTCAAAAACATGTTTTATAAAGTTAGCTTACTATTTCAAGCAATTCTGAAAGGTAACTATTAGTTCATTTTGCAAAAAAATGGAGGTAAGGGAGAGTTCAGCATCTAGCATAACCAGACTTTTCATCATAGAAGCATTTGTTTAGCACAGAAGTGCCAGATAATTCAAATATTCTGGCCAATCCTGAGTTCTTCACAAACCTTATCAATCTCAAAAATGAGCACTGAATTCCCATGAACTTGGAGTAATTTTAATAGTTGGATTTAAAGAACCTACCTATAAGCATATGAATTATGCATACAGTATATCTAACTCAATAACACTGAAAATGTATAAAAACTTCAGTAACTGTGTATTTATCTGATCAGAACCTCCACCATCAACACCAGTTTACACATATTCAAATCACTGTCTCAGGCAATCCTGAGAAATGAATAGAAGATGAATAGGAAAAAAAAAATCTATTTTATGACATCGTATAAAGAAGTCTCCAGACTCAACTTTGAAAATTCACTCACTGATCTGAGTGTCTTTTCCGTTGGTTCACCTAGAACCATTTGTCCTGAATTGCAATTGTGTATGGGTTTATTTACCCTTCAACACTATAAGCTAATTGAGAGTAGAAGCTGTGTATTATTTATTTTTTCCAACCCGTTTCACACTTTCTTCCAATACTAAGGCCAGCTCCCTGCTGGGTGTAATCCAGTACATATATGAATGAAGTTTGCTGTTCACCCAATGAAAAGCTTGCATTAGAACTTGCTCTTTTGTGGGCAGGGGGTGGGTGTCAGCTTTAATAATATAATTCACATGATTCACCAATTTTAAGTATATAATCCCTGGTTTTTAGTATATTCATAGAATTGTGCAAACATCACCACTGTCAATTTTAGAATATTTTCATCACCTCGAAAAGAAGCTCCACACCCCTTATTCTTTAGCTGTCACTCCCCAGCCCCTCATCTCCTCAGCCCTGGGCAAACATTAATCTATTTAAAAACTGTTACCTCTCAATTTTGCTATCTTGATAGAGGTACCTATTCCGGACATTTCACATAAATGGAATCATACAGCATGTGCTAAAACTTCCTTTTGAGATAAAACCAAAAACACAGATTTAAACATGTAACGACTCTTTTGCCCCTTACATCATTTTCATTTGGCATGCCACATCATTTCACAAAAATGCTTTTCTACCTGTTGTTCTTTCAAAATGTATCTTTAAAAAGAATAAGGTCTAGTCTTGTTTTCAGAAATATCTAAGTAGTTTAGCTGTAAACATTGATCTAACTTAAATTCAGAAAATAAAAAGAATTGTGATAACTGTGTTATCACTGCTTTAACTTATAGCCATATAAAAGTGCAAATTAATACTTAGGGTCTTCAGGTTTAGCATTCCCTTTAATTCCTTCACTGTTGCATCAATGCTTGTTAACTCATTGTGGTGTAGCAGGAGTATATGCAATGAAGGCAAATAGTGAAGGCCTGCAAAAAACATTTATAAGATTTTAAACATTTGTAATGCTAATTAAACATGCTAACTAAACAAAAACAAAGAACGCATTACTTCTTGTGAAAGAAGGAGTTGTTATTAATAATTTGATGAATTATCATTAAGGATACAACAAAGCATAAGAATTGAAATTATCTATTGTGATTTGGGAATAGAGTCAATTTCTTTCCACTGTTATTTTTCCCTGTAGCAATGATTTTGTGTGTTTGATTTTGAAGGGGACATTTTCCTTATCCTTCTTTGTTTTGTTTTGCCAATGTTGCTTAGCTTATAATGCCAATCAAGGAAATAATTATTCAAGACAATATCCCTCCCCAAATTGCTCAATGAAATATTTTCTTTACACAGTAGGAAGCCAAATATTCATATTATTTTATTGATTCTAAATTGCATATTTCCCACATTTTTAACATAAGTGAAAGTAGGTTATGTGTTTGCAATAGCAATGTCATGGTTTAATTGGAAAGGTTTTTCTTTCTTCCTGGTACAAGAAATCATAGTGCACCTCAAGATTTGTGACATTTCAATCCTACATTGTGTGATATTACAGGAAAATGTTTTGTACTATTCCCCTTTTATTTCATGATCATGGTATATCATGCATGTACTTTTATACCTGGCTTAAAATTGTCAGTTTAGTGATGCAGAGTGAAACAGAAATTTGTCTGGGAAAAATTATAGCCAGCAAAAACATATTAGACTATTTATAAAGTTGTTATTTTTATTAACACTCCCAAATATTGTTATAATTTGCTTCCACAATATCTAGTTTGAGTCCAACTGTGCAATAGAATGGCAAAACTTCTGTGTTAAGAAAAAGATTCTTTCACATCTTTAATAAGACACATAACAACACTGAATTAAAACCATAATCAAGCAGCATATCTTAAATGAAATGTACATAAGAACACTAAAAGTAACAGATTGCATCATATATTTTCAACAAAAATGTTAAAACAGATTTTTGCATGTGATTAGCAATGCCATAGTTGAAAGTTATTATTTAATTAAAAATCAATTAAATCAAAAGAGAAAATTTAAGACATACCTTCTATATCAAATATTGCATTGTTGTTTAGATATAGCTCTGTCAGACAGTAGTTTCTAGTTAGAAATGTTATTCCATGGAGCTGAAAATGAGAGTTAAAGAATAATATACTTTCTGCAATAATGATATATAATTACATATACATAAATAATTAAATAAGAATCATAGAAATTCAACATTTGCTGTTGTTATTTGTGAGTTTACATTTGGGTTGTCTTTGAGGTCACGTCTGATAAAAAAGAGTGTTTTTAGCCAACTTAACATGAACCTCTCTTACCACATCCCCACCAAACTCTCCTGTGTGGCTTGCAAAGCCTCTGTGATCTGGCCTAGCTCTTTTGCTTTAACAGTGTTTCTCACAGTTCCACTCCGTGTAGCCTCATTGGATCTGGCTCCAGATAGCCACTAATTCACCATCACACATTAATAAGTGGCTAGTATGTGCCAAGGGCTCTCTCCTCAGAAAATGCTGAGCCATTTCTGCATCTGTGTATGAGTCATGATTTCTCTTTGCCTGCATGACTTTTCCTCCTGGTACATTTCTGATTATTCTTAAGGATCTGCCCTAGGCCAACAAGACCTATCAGACCATGCCCGAGCAGGCAGGCTGTCACAGGAAGTTTCCACTGCTCCAGAGATTTGTTGAGACTATTCTTTGATCTCTTTGCATCTCACTGCTGTCCTCTTGCTCAGTTACCACCCACACTTTGTTTCTCTAACTGCTCCAGCAGTTTGAGTCAGATCTCCTGAAAGATGGTCTGATTCTGAATTCTCTTTCTTTATGCCCCATTCTGTGAACTACCTCCTCTTCCCAGGCTCACTGTCCTTCAGGTCAACAGATCTCAGTTTAGCTGAGGATTCTGTACTATGCACACACACAGGAGGTCAGACCCAGCTCAACCAGCCACCATCCCCAAGTAGAGGACAAGGCACAGCACAACCCTGTCACGTTACAGCTCGTCACTTTTAAGTAAGGTCTTATCTGACAGCCCCCATCCCCATGAACCTTCATCTTCTTGACCTCACCCCAGCACATCCTTTGACTTGTGCTGTTAATCACTTGATCACTAGTTTTGTGTCTTCCTTAAGGGAAGAAACCATATTTCTTCAGTACCTTTTCCTTCCCACCTCTCCTTTTCCCTAACAATATGCTGGTGTTGCATCTCATTTTAAGATTAGATTAGAAATTCAGTGTATATGAATTGGAAATAGTCAAAAGCACTCTTGAAAATTCCTCAAATGTACATGACAGGAGCATTTAACTCTAAACTAAATTCAGAAATGTTTCTGTTACCCTGCAAGGAGAATCCCATTTTTTTTTAAAGATATTGACTTAATAGCCTCGATAAAATTTGACAGATTTGTTTGAGTTATGAGGCTGAGACATGGTAGAGTCATAGGGTGGGGCAAGTACATTTTAAAAGCAGCACTTAAGTTAAATGCAACAATGCTAACTTTACTGTTTAATACAGGATCTAGCAGGGAGAAGAATCTCAAGAAATAGTTACTGATCAAGTGCTTACTAGTTTATATATACAGAAATATATACTCATGATTGTAAATTAATTTTACGTGTTTATTAAAGCTCATCACAGGAACTATTGTCATCAGTTAAACAGAACTGTTCTGACCTTTGATGGATTGATTAAGGTAGACAGATGCCAACCCATCTGATTTAGTGAGGATTTATTGGAAACTTTAATCATGCCATCTCATATCTCAGAAAAGTTATGTTAGATATGTATCCAAAGTTTGAAAATAGGTTTCTTTAATAAATTTCTTTAATTTTTTTTCTTGTGAAACAGTCACAAATTATGAAGCTATAAAAGGCACATGTGCCACTCGTCTCATTGTCTCACAAACTCATCTGTACCAACTTATTCGGCACTTGTGCAGGAGAACCAACAGTAATTCACCCCAGCTTTTGTTAAGTCACGAGAAGAGCCGTGTATCCCCAGGTAGAAGAGGCCATTCAACGCAGTGAGGATTGGGTCCCAGTTGGCTTACTATCCCTTTCTACTCTTCCCACTGGCTTCCTGACAGCAACTCATGGCCTTCTGTCCTTCCTCTCACCACTCCCTGATCTAATGATAGCCACAGCTAACATCAGCATAGAAAGAGAACACCAGTGCAAACCAGCACTTTTTCTTCTCTCTTTTTTTATCCAGTTGCCTGCCTGACCACACATTAACAGAATATTACTAATTAGTTGAGATTTTAATTTCTCTTACATTATGCATTAACAAATTCAATTTTTCCAAGAGCATTAAGATCTTTGGACCATTATTATTGGAATTTTTAAGACTGCACTGTTTATTGGGATGAAATGAATGGGGGGAATGGAGTGGAAAGAGATAAAGCCAGATAATGAAGACCTTAGGGATTTTGTGCAGAGGAATGCTATTGCCCAGTTTTATTTTAGAAAGAAACCGGCAGGGGAGAGCATGGTTTAGAAGACATGGTAAGTATAATGGGAGGAGATGAACAAAAAGGGTGTTAGGCTAATTCAGAAGAATATACGGGTCCCAGAGTAGAATACCAGTTGGACAAGAGAGAAGTAGAAGAAACTGAGAGAGGGTTCCAAGGTAGAATTCACAGGACTTAATGCTGCAATGGAGCAAGTTGATAAAGTCAAGATCTAGGAATGGGAATTGGAAGATGTGCTGATTGTTCTGACACTCAAGTCATTGTTAAAGTAAAATGTTATTATAATTATTCATTTAGAAAATTTGCGCTATTGAGTCTAAGAACTGCCATAGGATTTATATTGAATGTGACATGTCACAAATCGTGTATCTTAGCTCATGCTTGGCACGTAGCAAGTGCTCCATAAATGATAGCTATTATTATTTACTATTTAACCATTACTATTTCTTATAGAGCTGAGAACACTTACATTTAAGGTAAAGCTCTTACAGGTAACCACTGAGGTACAAGTGGGGAAAAATTTATGGAGGCATTCTTTTGGAGCAGGATTTCTTAACCTCTACCACTATTGACATTTTAGACCAGATAATTCTTTGTTGGGGTTGGGGGAGCTTCCCTATGGATTGTAGTATGTTTGGCAGCATCCCTAGTCCCTATCCATTAGATGCCAGTGGCACATATACCCTGGTTGTGAAAATAAAAAATGTCTCCAGACAGTGCCAAATAGTCCCCTTGTGTGTGTGAGGAAGGGGTGCAAAGTCACTCCTAGTTGAGAACTGCTGATTCAGAGTCAAGGAGAGAGTCATATTTATCAAGTGCTTATTTATGAGCCAGGCGCTAAACTAGATGTTTTCAGCAACATTATCTAACATGATCCTTACAATAGCCCATGTTATTTCTTTTATCTCTTATATACCTCAGAGGAAACTGAGGCTCAGAGAAGTTAAACAACTTTCTCAAGGTAACGGAGCAAAGATTCAAACCCAAGTCTGCCTGACTCTCAGATCAAAAGTTGGCATATAGTTCATCATAATGTGATTCATTAACTTGGAGGAACTTCTATAAAAACAATCCAGAAAACATTAACTTGAATGTATTTTCAAGTAATGGAAAATATTGGTAGTTTGAGAAAATACTGAGTAATGGAAAATATTCCATAAATTAATTTTTTCTAGTATTCCAGCAATAACTAAAAAGCATGTTTAAAATGCACCCAAAAATATTTGGCATGAAATGAAAAAAATAGAACTATAACAATCTCCAAATATATACATATATGGCAAAGTACTAACATCTTCTGGAATGTATATACATACAGATATGTATAATTACCTTATTCTAAGCAATGAAACAGACACAGAGAGGCTGAGTAACTTGTTCAAGGTTACACAGCTAGTATATAGTGGAATTGAGGTTTGGTCCAGCTCCAGTAGTCCTTGCTGGGAACCACTGCACTTTATCTCCATTCAGGGTAGGAAGCTGAGCTGTCAGTCAGGCTCATTCCCAAACAGCCTGAGTCGTTTTAACCCTGAACATGCCACTTCATGCCCTTTCAACATGCTCTAGAGTCCCATTTCTACAGGTTCATAAAGGTGAACTGTTATATTGTTGATAAGGCTTATGATAGTCATTCCAAGAGTATTTCTTTTACATTAGAGGATTGTGATCAATGATTCTCTTAACTGTTGACTTTCAGGTCAGTTTGAATACATACTGTGGTCTGAGAAGACTTCTCAGTGTCCCTCAAATTATGTTGCATAATAACTTCCTAAGATACCAGTTTGCAAAATCAGTTTTAGGAATTATGCTCACTAAACCCAAATAATGCCAACAATGTAAAGAATGACTTCAAAACATTTCTATTATTGTGAAACAAGACCACAGAACTCTAGACTTAGAAGAGAATTTCAGAATTATATACATGAGATGGTGCAGGTAAGGAAAATGACTTCTGGTTAAAGGTTTAGATTGTATACACCTATCTAACTTTTCCCATTCAAAAATTTAACTAAAATGACAATAAAAGAATTATTTAAAAAGACATGTATTTATGACAGGAAGAACAGAAAATTAGACAATAGCAAAATAGTTTTGAAAGCTGGAAAGCATATGGTCTAAGTGGTAATAGAATTAACAGAAACAAGAAAGCCAAATTCTAAGCCAGAAAACAATCTTGTATTTATACCACAACATTCTAAAAAGGCTCAACGACTCGAAGTGAGGGTAAGGAGGAAGGGATTAAATGAGCACTATTGAAAGCTTTCTAAGACGCAATTCTACTTCTCAGGAATGTTCCCAGTAAAACCACGTGGCAACCGGACCTCTCCTACCACCTGGATGGGATAAAGGACAGAGTTCCTGGACAAGCAGACACTAGACAGAGGTAAAGACAGAGGTTCTCACTGAAAACTGGAAAATTAAGGGAATGTATATACATGGTATGCTGAGAGTTCCCAGCCCCCTTTCCCTAGCTTGGCTCTCAGAAAGCTGGTAGCCAGGTCTTTATAGTATAATCTTATTATACATAAAGGTCATGTAATAATAACATTTAAAGGGGGAAAACAAAGCCCTTGTTAATTAAACCATAAAAGTAGAATTTCAAATATAATAGGAGATTTGGAAGAGAATGTTGAAGAAATCTTCCAGAAAGTAGAA